GTGCCTGATTAAAATTTGAGGTGACATATGATAATTTTAATCAAAATAGTATTTATATATTAACTGAGCTGGTTACAAAAACGATATATTTTTATCCGCTACTGATATTAATTGAAGCGTTGAGTATGTTTTCCATCATCATCTATAGTAAACTACTAAAACCCCATCGATATATCAGCATGACGCATTGATATTTATCCACCGCCTGCGTCCAGTCATCAGATTTAACCAACTATAACACCAGCTCGAGATGTGGCAATTGCGGACGATCATCGCGATATATTCCATATCACGATTCTCACTTCCACCAACACAGTGCCGATACACTATGGTCATAAAGCGTTCGTCGGCTTTGTAAACGAAAGCACAACTGTTCACAGGAACTCTGCAAGACCGGCGAAATCTTCCAGGAAAACAGGAATATACAGACAGGGGCTCCCGGCTCCAGTTTTTCCCACAATGCCACTCACCAACCCATAGTCGGTTAGCGAGTGAATGTTTTTCAGGATTGTCTCAGACCGTTGTGTGGATAGAGTGTTGATACCTTCTTGTTTACTCATCTATTTTTCCGAACAAAAAACAACAACGGCAGACCTGCTGATTAGCCGTTATAGTCAGTGTGCTTGAGAAATGATATATATGAAATTATTAGGAATTATGTCAGCAGCAATAATTATCTTCAGTCCATAGGAACCCATTGAGTTTTGTAGAGTTACAATGCAAAATACATTACATTTACAGGCTCTGGCATTGAGGGCTTCACTGATGGTTTGCCTTAAAGATGAAACATTTTCTATACGTACATCTGTCGGTATTAAACAACTTCTTCGCCAGGCTGCTGATCGTGAGCGCCACTCTGTCGCCTCAATGCTTAAAGCTTTGGTTATAAATGATGCGAAAGCACACAGACTAACGCCGACTCACTCTAAAATATAACACTACTAAGTAGCTCACTTTTAGTACCTCATTTCACACAAACAGATGCTTGGTCAGGTAAAAAGTGAGACTGAGGCGAGGAATCCACCAATGAGTACAACCGAAAATCAAATTGAGCAGGATCTTATTGCCCGACTGACTGAACTAAAATACACACTGCGGCCCGACATTCGCGATCGTGCATCACTCGAAAAAAACTTTAGGGAAAAGTTTGAAACTCTCAATAAGGTGCATCTGACCGATAACGAGTTTCAGCGTCTGCTTGATGCTGTTATTACTCCTGATGTGTATAATGCAGCTCAGACACTACGCAATATCAACAGCTTCGAGCGTGATGATGGTACACCACTGAACTATAGTCTGGTTAATATTCGCGACTGGTGCAAGAACGATTTTGAGGTAGTGCATCAGTTACGCATCAACACCGATAACAGCCATCACCGCTATGATGTGATGCTTCTTATAAACGGTGTACCAGTTGTGCAGATCGAGCTTAAAGCACTGTCTGTTAGTCCACGTCGTGCTATGCAGCAAATCGTGGATTACAAAACTGAGCCTGGCAATGGTTACAGTAAGACACTGTTGTGTTTTATCCAACTCTTCATCGTCAGCAATCGTACTGATACCTGGTACTTCGCGAACAATAATGCACGACATTTCAGTTTTAATGCCGATGAGCGATTCCTGCCGGTCTACCAGTTCGCCAGTGAAGATAACAAAAAGATTACCCAGCTAGAAATTTTCGCCGACAAATTCTTAGCCAAGTGTACTTTAGCGCAAATGATCAGTCGTTATATGGTTCTGGTTGCCAGCGAACAGAAGTTATTAATGATGCGCCCCTACCAAATTTATGCGGTCAAGGCTATCGTCGATTGCATTCATCAGAATTGCGGAAACGGCTATATCTGGCATACCACAGGTTCAGGCAAAACATTGACTTCGTTCAAAGCGTCCACTTTGCTCAAGGATAATCCTGACATTGAAAAATGCCTTTTTGTGGTGGATCGTAAAGATCTGGATCGCCAGACTCGGGAAGAGTTTAACCGTTTTCAGGAAGGGTGTGTAGAAGAGAACACGAATACTGAAACGCTGGTGCGCCGACTGTTATCTGACGACTATGCCGATAAGGTTATTGTCACAACTATCCAAAAGTTGGGGCTGGCGCTGGACGGCACAAATAAACGTAACTACAAAGAGCGTCTGGAGCCATTACGAGACGCCCGTATGGCATTTATCTTTGATGAATGCCATCGCTCTCAATTTGGCGAAAATCACAAAGCTATAAAAGAATTTTTCCCTAATGCACAGCTTTTTGGCTTCACGGGAACACCTATCTTCGAGCAAAATGCCAGCTACCAGCAAATCGAAGGTCAACAAGCCAGTCTGCGTACCACCGACGACTTATTCGAACGCTGTTTGCATCAGTACACCATCACTCATGCTGTCGAAGATCGCAACGTCTTACGCTTTCACATAGACTATTTCAAACCGGAAGGAAAGAACCCACCTAAACCCGGCGAAGGTATCGCTAAATCTAAGGTTATCGAAACCATTCTTTCTAAACACGATTCTGCGACCAATGGACGCAAATTTAATGCCATCCTGGCAACTGCCAGCATTAACGATGCCATCGAGTATTTTGAGTTATTTGACAGCATTCAGACAAAAAATGCAGAACAAAATACTGAATTTCGACCATTGAACGTAGCATGTGTTTTTTCCCCACCTTCTGAAGGAAACAAAGATGTTCAGCAGATACAGGAAGATCTACCTCAGGAGAAAGAAGATAACCAGCAAGACCCGGAAGGCAAGAAAGCTGCACTCGACCGTATCATTGCTGATTACAATACGCGTTTCAAGACCAATCACCGCATAAGTGAATTTGACTCTTACTATCAGGACGTACAAAAGCGTATCAAGGATCAACAGTACCCCAATACTGACTTATCTGCTGCGCAAAAAATTGACATAACCATCGTAGTGGACATGCTGCTTACGGGATTTGACTCCAAGTACCTCAATACACTGTACGTGGACAAAAATCTCAAACACCATGGTTTAATGCAAGCATGTTCGCGAACTAATCGCGTTCTCAACGATACGAAACCCTACGGTAACATTCTCGATTTTCGTCAACAACAAAAGTCGGTGGAAGGGGCCATTGCACTCTTTTCCGGTGAAAAAATTAATAACCCGCGTGAAATTTGGCTGGTAGATTCTGCTCCTAAAGTCATTGAGAATCTACAAACAGCCACACAGAAACTGGCTGACTTTATGCAATCACAGGGACTGGCTAATGCACCGGAAGAAGTCGCTAACCTTAAAGGCGATGTTGCCAGAGCACAATTCGTTAACCTGTTCAAAGATGTTCAGAGACTTAAAACTCAGCTCGATCAGTATACCGATCTATCTGAAGAGCAAAAACAACAGATCGAAAGGATCGTGCCAGCAGATCAATTGCTGGGATTTAAGGGCGTGTATCTGGAAACGGCCAGGTGCCTAAAGGAACAACAGGACAAAGACCAAACACTACCAGAAGTACAACAACTCGATTTTGAATTTGTACTTTTTGCCTCTGCGGTTATTGATTACGACTTTATCATGGGCCTTATCGCTAATCTGACTCAGCAGAAACCAGGCAAGCTCACCCTGAATCGCGAAGAACTCATTGGTCTGATCCAGTCCGATGCCAAGTTTATCGACGAACGTGAAGATATTGCTGCGTACATCCGTGGTCTGCCAGTAAATGAGGCATTAAACGAAAAACAGATTCGAACAGGTTTTGAACACTTCAAGGCAGAAAAGAAGGCGAAAGAACTCTCTGAGATCGCCGCCAGACATGACCTTGCACCAGATGCCCTGCAAGTTTTTGTTGATGAAATTCTACGTCGTCGTATCTTTGACGGTGAACGCCTTTCCGAATTAATGGCTCCACTGAATCTGGGCTGGAAAACACGTACACAGAAAGAGCTAGCGCTTATGGATGAACTGACACCGTTGCTACACAAACTGGCACAAGGGCGTGAGATCACGGGGCTATCAGCCTATGAGGAAGGGAAATAATGACAGCCATTTTTTCTAATAACATACACTGGAGGAGTAAAAATTTGAATTCGCATATCATCGCGAACAGCAAATTCATGTTCGTGGAAGTTAATACTCATGCGATCCCCAAATGCCAGCAAGAACAGATATGGGCACCGATGCCCTCAATTAGTGACGTAATGCCTCAGGAACAAGCTGTATGAGTGGAAGTAATAAACATATACTGGTACCACAATTGCGTTTCCCAGAGTTTAGAGATGCAGAAGAATGGACCACCTATAATTTAGGCCAACTGTCAAAAATTGTAACAGAGAGAGTGGGAGATAATGATTGTATTCCATATACAATCACATCTGGAGTTGGTCTTATCAGCCAACAAGAAAAACTGGGTAGAACTATTGCGGGTAATTCTTTAAAAAATTATATACTCCTACAACATAACGATTTCGCTTACAATAAGAGTGCAACAAAAGCATACCCACAAGGATATATTGCATGTTACTTAGGACATGAGCGTGCAGCTGTTCCTAATAGTATATTCACTTGTTTTCGCCCTACCCCAAACTTAGTCATACCAGCTTTTTTGAATAATCTTTTTGTTGCCAACTTACATGGGAAATGGCTAAAGAATCGCGTTGCTGTTGGTGCGCGTGCTAATGGTGCACTGCAAGTCAATAATAATGATTTAATGAACGTACCCGTACCATTGCCAACTGGTTCACAGTCACTTTCCGAACAAAAAAAAATCGCCGACTGTCTGTCTTCTCTGGATGACCTGCTCACAGCAGAAGTCCAGAAATTGAATGTGTTAAAAGAATATAAAAAAGGCCTGTTGCAACAGCTTTTTCCTCGGGAAGGTGAAACTGTACCACAGAAGCGTTTTCCGGAATTTCGAGGTACGGTGTCCACCTTGCCTCTAGAAACTGTTGCTGATTTTGTGAGCGAGAAGATCTCCATCAATAAAATCACTCCAGCTCATTATGTAAGTACAGAAAACTTGCTGTCTGACTTCGGCGGCATAAACTTGGCTACTAAATTGCCATCAGTTTCATCAGTTACGAGCTTCAGACCTAAAGACATTCTTGTTTCGAATATTCGCCCATATCTTAGAAAAGTCTGGCAAGCAAATGTATGTGGCGGAGCGTCAAATGATGTGCTTGTTATTAGACCCACTGAGCGTGTCGGATCTAACTACTTGGCTGTAGTACTCCGAAGTAACTTCTTCATTGATTATGTGATGCGTGGTGCCAAGGGAGTCAAGATGCCTCGCGGAGAAATTTCGATGATTAGACAGTTTCCAGTGCCGACCCCTTGCTCTGTTGAACAACAAAAAATCGCAGATTGCCTATCTTCGCTCGATGATCTCATCACCGCCCAAAGCCACAAAATCGATGCTCTGAAAACCCACAAAAGGGGCCTAATTCAGCAGTTATTCCCTGTACTGAATGAGGTCCCCGCATGACCTTGCAGATAACTTACAAGTCTGAGCAAGGCTGCGTTTCTTGGCAGGGGCACTGCGTGCAGAAAGACTGTGTCTTTAATGATTTCCTGCAAGGGCCAGTGGCTGCTCGTCTGAATGATACGACAGACCATGATGCGCTGACTGAGCATCTTCGTGAGCTTAGCTTGACCGGCATGGGACATGATTCACTGGAAGAAGTCCTAGCAGCTGAGGTGCCTGAAACTCGTGACTGTGCCGTCGGCAAAGCATTGGCAGAAGCCGTGCTGGAGGCACTGCACGACGTGGTGCTTCCGTGGTATACCGAGTGCGGCAAGCGCAATCCTTTTGCCTCATTGCCCGACGCGAATATTGTGGGTTTCCAGCGTGATGACGAATCCCACCAACTGTCTCTGGGGGAAGTCAAATGTTCATCCGAAACCCTGTCACCACCACAGCTCATAAGCGGGCGCAGTAGCATGACACACCAACTGGATACTCTCGCCAGCAACCTTGCCAATCTCTGCCTGTTACTCAAATGGCTGCTATCATGGGGCAAAAGTACTGAGCATGAAACAGCGTTCAATAACGCCTGCACGCGCTATTTCAATAGCGGGAATCGTGATCTGGTATTGTTCGGCATACTGATTCGCGATCAGTCCGTAAATGAGACGGATTTACGAGCGCGATGTCGTAGTCTGGCTGGTCGTGTTTTTCAAGGCCAACTCGGTATAGTTGCTCTCGTCGCCAAAGATGAACGTGAAGTAGCACAAAAAAAGGGGTTTATTAACCAAAACACTGGCGACTTGAATTCTGCGTTGATTCAGATTATGCAGACGGCTGATGGATTGGAATGCCAGGGATCCATCGTATACCACCTCCCGGAATGGTCGAGCTTCTTACAATGTCTGACTCATACTTATCGCCAGATGGGGCAGCCATCGAATTTTGTGGATCAGATCGAGCAGGTGCTGCGTGGCACTTTTGGTTTCGAGAAATTACGTACATCGGATAGCCAGATAACTCGTTGTTTACTGGATGGTATCCATCGCTATGTCGATTATCTTGCCAGTCCTTCCCAACTTCTGAAACTGGTTGATAGTACTGGATTTTCACTGCAAAGCATCAGGACGGTGTTAACGCACAAAGGTGATCTGAGACCGGACTCCTGGAATCGAGAACAACTATTTAGCTCCGGTGACAATACCCTAAAGAACATGATGGGCGTGCTGATGCGAGTACCTGAATTGCGCGACAATCTGAATTCGGTGCTGGAAGGCAAATCACCTGATGGTGGCAAGCTTGCATGTATTCTAAAGGATTGGGGGAACGGAAAAGATATTGCTCATATCGCGAAGCAATATTTTAGTAAGGATGATACAGATGTTGTTACTGCCTTGACTAAATGCGGACAGAACTTGCTTGGTAAACTGACTCATACCACGTCATGAGGCCTGAATGCTTTGTTGGTAATTATCACGGCAGAACTGGATGATGCGTATAGCTGGTTATCTAATCTTTCATCGCAGGTATACGACGATGTTGCCACGGATGAGGCATTTTTACTGCGTCTTTTGGGAGTACCTCGTCGTGCTGCGCCACGCTTGGCTGAAGCCTTAAGATTAACGCGGGAGGATTCGCTTCCTGCCATTCGTCAACGTCTGGAAAAGCTACCAGAACAAGTTTGGAGCGAAGCTTTAGGTAAAAGAAGAAATGGTCTATCGCAAGGCCTAGATGATTATAGTTGGGGAACAGTGATGAGGCAGAATACACCACCTGTTTTTTCTGATCTTTTCATGCTGGCAGCTTATCTGCGCAGAGAACTGGAAAATAAAAAGACCATCTTGCTCTATGCCTATAATGGTACAGGGAAGACTCGACTGTCGATGGCGTTTAAAGATGCAGGTAAAAAAACGATTCACCGCCCTTTTTCGGTTGGTGATCATGTGGGCCAGCCGCTTACAATTACCGAAACGACCGGAGATACCTTATATTTCAACGCATTCACTGAAGATCTGTTCCATTGGAACAACGATCTAGAAGGTGATGAGGATCGCCGATTGCTGCTCAACAGGGATTCGCGATTTTTTCGGGGATTGTTTGAGCTGGAAATGGACAACCGTATACGCCCGTTATTGCAGCGTTATACAGACTTCGACTTTCGAATTGATACAGAAGAATGGGCGATACGCTTCTCACGAACTGTAGATGGTCAAATCATTGATAACATCAAGGTTTCACGAGGAGAAGAAAATATCTTCATTTGGTGTTTCTTCTTAGCTATCGTACAATTAGCACTTGATGGTGCAGATGCTTACCAGTGGGTAAAATATATCTACATAGACGATCCTATATCCTCACTGGATGAGCATAACGCTATCACAGTTGGTAACCATCTGGCACAACTATTGAACAAAGCTGATAACCCGTTGAAAGTGATGATCTCATCCCATCATCCATTATTCTTCAATGTCATGCACAATGAACTTGATGCTCGTAAATCCAGAAAGGTTGCAGCCTACTTTTTATCAAGATCACGGATTGATGGTAGTTATTCCCTGACTTATACAGGCGCGACACCATTCTTTCATCATGTTGCGATACTAACTGAGTTGTATAAAGCGGAGCAATCAGGTGAGTTATATACCTATCATTTCAATATGTTACGTTCAGTTCTGGAAAAATCAGCCAGCTTCCATGGTTTTTCAAATTTCTCAGCCTGCATTGCGCAGGATGTTGATGACCCCGAAAGGATTTTGCATTCGAGGCTCATCAATATTTTAAGCCATGGAAACTATTCGCTTTTCGAGCCTCAACCTATGCTCGAAGAAAATAAAACTTATTTCAGAAAGATTTTGCATGATTTTCTGAAACGCTATCCATTTAATCCTGATTTATTTCCTCAACAGATTGAGGAAGGTGAAAAGAAACTATGACTGAGTTTGAAAAACAAAAACTGGGCAAAACGCTCTGGAACATAGCTGATCAATTACGCGGCGCTATGAGTGCGGATGATTTTCGCGATTATATGCTAGCATTTTTGTTCCTGCGATATCTATCGGATAATTACGAAGCGGCAGCTCAAAAAGAGCTAGGGGTAGACTACCCCAAACAAAAAGAGGGGAAACGTCAACCACCACTGACTCTGTGGTATGAACAAAATAAGCAGGACATTCCTGCGTTTGAGAAGTTAATGCGCCGTAAAGTGCATTACGTAATCGAACCTCAGTACCTTTGGACAAGTATTGCAGAGATGGCACGGACTCAACATGTGAAATTGCTTAATACATTACAGGCAGGCTTTAAGTACATTGAGGAGGAATCTTTCGCCAGTGTCTTCAGGGGGTTGTTCTCAGAAATCAATCTTGCCTCAGAAAAACTTGGCAAAACATATGGTGAGAGAAATGATCGCCTTTGTAAGATAATCAAAGAAATTGCTGATGGGTTGAAGCAGTTCTCTACCGACAGTGACACATTGGGGGATGCTTACGAATATTTAATCGGTCAGTTTGCAGCTGGTTCAGGTAAAAAAGCCGGTGAGTTCTACACACCTCAACATATTTCAGATATCTTATCTGCCATTGTTACGCTGGATAGCCAAGAACCTGCCACTGGGCAACGTTCACACATAGATAGCGTGTTTGATTTTGCCTGTGGATCAGGTTCATTGCTCCTGAATATTCGCAAGCGCATGGGACAGCACGGTATTGGAAAAATATACGGTCAAGAAAAAAATATCACCACCTACAACCTTGCACGTATGAATATGCTTCTGCATGGAGTGAAAGATTCGGAATTTGATATTTTCCACGGAGATACCCTTCTCAACGATTGGGATATATTACGCGAGACCAATCCATCCAGAATGCCCAAATTCGATGCGGTTGTTGCCAATCCGCCATTCAGCTATCGCTGGGAACCATCAGAAACATTAGCTGATGATGTGCGCTTCAAAAATTACGGTCTGGCACCTAAATCTGCTGCTGACTTCGCCTTCCTTTTACATGGATTCCATTTTTTAAAAGAAGATGGTGTAATGGCAATCATCCTGCCTCATGGTGTACTTTTCCGGAGCGGTACTGAAGCACGTATACGCACGAAATTGCTGAAGGATGGGCATATTGATACGATAATTGGTCTGCCTGCAAATCTGTTCTTCTCTACTGGTATTCCGGTATGTATTCTGGTGCTGAAAAAATGTAAAAAACCTGACGATGTATTATTCATCAATGCAGCAGAACACTTTGATAAGGGTAAACGGCAGAATCAGATTTCTTCTGATCATATAAAAAAAATTATTGATACTTACAAGTTCCGCAAAGAGGAACCACGCTACGCACGTCGTGTCAGCATGGAAGAGATTGAGAAAAATGATTTTAATTTAAACATCTCACGCTATGTAAGTACAGCTGAAGCTGAAGAAGAAATCAATCTTACTTCAGTACATGCAGAGTTGGTTTCTCTGGATAATCAGATAAAATCAGCAACTCAAAAACAGCACGAATTTCTAAAAGAGTTAGGTTTACCTCTTTTGCCATAATTCGCATCATATTATTTTTACAAAAAAATGCCCTTTTTGTCGCAACAAGGGCATAAAAACTTATTGATATTAAATAATGTTCTGGGAGACTCATCTTCACAGAAATTTTCAGTCCAGTAGCATGATGTATGTAAGCGTAAACTGACCGCCGTATGTAGCCATTAAGCCAGTATTGGTAACGTAGGTACCCACCTTTTCAAATATTGCTCTTCGTCTACGGCTTTAGCTTGAATTTGAGGGTCGATTCTGTTGGCTAATAAGATTCTGTTGGCTAATAAGGAAATATAATCCACTCTTAGCCCTCGGGTATCAGCAAGTGAAAGTGTGGGAAAGACACCGAGTCCCATCATTGTCCGCTGCTTTGTTGTCGAATGTTGATAACGGAAACGCCAGAGCATTTCCCGCTGGATTTCACCATCAGGAAAAGTCCATCACCATCATGAAGCATTAGATCTTTCTCTAACGCTTTTCCGCGCGAAACTTCGGTGATGATCTGGGGGCATGTTGTCCGTGCCACTATGCCACTCCTTCATGAATTGGTATATGCTTTAAGGTATATCCCGAATTTTCCATATCCCGACGCACCAGTACTGGCGCGGCATGAGCCCTTCCATGCATCTGCATTAAAACCGCCTCCAGAAGCTGGCTGCGTGGCGGAGAGAGCATTACGCACTTCCCTGCCAATGATTTTAACTGTAATTTATATCAGTGGAGAGAACCCAACATTCAAATGAAATTTTAAGGAATAAAAATGAATTGCAAAACTATCATTCTACGTTTCAGAGATTTGGTCACCCCCGCCGGAGAAACAATCACTCTACATCAGGAAGTAATCAAATCTAAAGGTTCAGTTTGGTGGGGATGGTGGGCAAAGCCGGATGAAAGAGTTTCTTCTGAATTCATAAAAATCAAACAAAATTTGGCGAGTAAACCATTAGGTATTTTCCTTTTTGATAGTGGGCAAAAGAAATTGTATGAAGCCAAGTTGAAAGATATTTTTTTAAATGGCGATTTAGCTCCGTGTCCTGCCCCAGAAATGTCTCCTGCATATTATGCTAAGCAATGTTATAATTTATGGTTTGAATTATTTGATATAAATCAAATTAATGATGACGTAATTAATAATTACGCATACTCCGACAAGGTTAAAGATTTTTTTGATGACCCTACTTTATTTTCAGTATTCGATAACAAGCAGGTGTCAGGACTTAGGGAGTTAAGATTTCAAGACAGAACCATTTGGTTTGTTAATGAATATGACCCTAAAAAGCATGAATCTCATGAGATTTTGTTGAACGATGCAAACATTGGAATTCCCGGAGTGTTTCCAAAACGCCCGGTGGACTTACACAATGGAAAAGTAGTTTGGTTTTCGGATATCCATTTCGATGAAGATAAGGAGAAACATCAATTTAATCAAGTTAATCAATTGTCGCTTTCTAAGATATTAATTAGCAGGCAGGATCTCGACATAAACGGGATGATTATTTCAGGTGATTTAACGTGGAAAGCCACAAAGAAAGAGTTTGAATTGGCTACGAATTTCTTCAATGATATCTGTTCTGTTAAACGAGTAAAATATGATGCAATAGGATTTTGCCCTGGTAATCACGATGTCAGCTTTAGTAAAACACTTCCAGCTAAAGTAAAAAGAGCACTTAATAACTATCATGAAGCTCAAATGGGGAAGAAAAAAATCACTAAAGAAGAATGGAATATTCTTGCTGCAAGAAGTCTTTCTAATAAAAGCAAAGAAAACTATAAGGATTTTTTTAAATTGACAGTAGGCACAGAGCCTAACGAATTTCTTTCGATGGGCAAACGCTTTATTATTAGAAATCAAAAGATAGTTGATTTCTGTTTCTTAAACAGTAATTTTCTTCAGCAACATCAACTTGCTTTTCAAGGTCAAGGATTTGTCGGAGCAGAACAGCTTGATGATGCTGAAAAGAAAATGCTTTGGCAAAATAATGAGAAAATTAAAGGGGGATACCGGGTGGTTGTTTTGCACCATAATTTGTATCCTGTTAATTATACCTCAGAGCCGTATGTGAGTGCTCCAGCTAGTCTGGTATATGATACGGAAGCAATAATTCAATGGTGCTTCAAACATGGAGTTGATTTGATACTTCATGGTCATACACATGAACGTTTCATGACTAAAGTATCCAGAAGGATAGATGGTTGCACTAAAAGTCTATGGATAACTGGTTTAGGTAGTTCAGGTGTGATCTCTTCTCACCTTGTAGGTTTTAATGAGTTTGCAGAAATTGATTTCAATAATGAAAAAATAAATATCAAGTTCTATAATATAAAGAATAATGCAATTGATGACCAATTTGAAATCATTAACTTGGACTGAATAATGAAAAAATTATTAATTACAGATTTGGATAACACATTATATGATTGGGTTTCATTCTATGCCCAGTCATTTACTGCAATGCTAGATGTATTAGTCAATATTTTAGATGTACCTAAAAGTGAGTTGCTTGAAGAATTTAGACAAGTTCACATCAAACATGGGAATTCTGAATATCCATTTGGTGCATTAGAGATAGATTCAGTAAAGAAAAAATATGCCCACCTAACTAGAGATGAGGTTGCTTTAAAACTCGATGAGGCTTTTCATGCCTTTAATTCTACTAGAAAGAAAACATTAAGATGTTATGAGGGAGTTATCGAGACCTTAGACTACCTCAAGAATCAAGGGGTCGTCATTGTAGGCCACACCGAAGCCCCTGTTAGAAATGCCATATTCCGATTGAAATCTCTTGGTATTCTTGAATTTATGACACATCTTTATACCCCTCAAGATAGATTCCACGATGAATTGGATGTTAAAACTAAGTCTTGGATTGAATCATATGGTGATTTTATTTATCTATTAAGTGACGAGGAAAAAAAACCTAACCCACTCTTGTTAGCCGACATTTGTGCTAAAGAGGGATTCAGTACAAGTGAGGCAGTTTACATTGGAGATTCATTAGTTAAAGATATCTCCATGGCAAATGATGCAGGTGTTGAATCAATATATGCAGAGTATGGGCGACAGCATGAAAAGGTATACTGGGATATTTTAGTTTCAATAACTCATTGGACGCAAGAAGATATTCAAAGGGAAGGTAAATTAAAGGAACTTTATAAACATGTCGTTCCAAATCACATAATAAAATCTTTTGATAAAGTAATTGATGTTATCCT